CTCTGGTGGCTACCAGCCACCACTGCCAGCCCTGGTTGCTGCCTGCTGTGTGCAGCCTTGCATAGACCCGTAATTAAGTGGTTTTTCATTTACTAATAACGGTCTAAATGAAGGAGGAGCTTGTGCTAGTGCTCCCCTGGGCTCTCCTTGAGGCACCTCCAGCCCTTGCTGAGTTTTGTGGATTTTTTAGCCTCTGCTCGGCTGGTGTCTGGAGGGTGATGTGCCTGCAGGCAGGCGTGGAGGAGCACAGAGGTGATTTTTCGGTAGCTGGGGATGTCCCTTGTGCCTGCTGGGCTTGGGGAGGCACTGGAGCAGCGGGGCAGGAGCCGTCCTGGAGCAGCATGGACTTGGGAAGGGTTTTAGCGGGCTCCTAGGAGAGCACTGCCTCCTTGGTGTGTCTTTTCTCCTTGAGAAAATGTTTGTTGGAGATGTCCCCTTTGCTGTGTCATTGCTCTGCATGGTGTCACTCTGAGCATTGTAGCTGTTCCTAGGGCTCTCGCTGGGGCTATACCTCAGCCCTTGGGTGCCGGGGTGGGCGCAGGGACCCTCCAGTGCAAGGGGAGAGGATGAGGATGGCTGGGTGCTCCAGGGGGAGCAGTACTTTGAGGCAAGGGAAAGCATCTCGGATGCTCACACGGAGTTTGTGAGCAGCCAGGGGGAGGGAGCAGCACTTATCTTATGGTGCTGGGGCTGGTGTTGGGATCCCTGGGGCCAGTGTTGGGATCCCCGGGCTCAGCCTGGCTGCCCCTCTGCCCGCACCTTTCTCCAAAGCTGCGGGTGCCGTGGGGAGGGAAAGGCCCTTTCCCAGGGTCTCCAGCTCCGCCACCACCACTGTTTCCCCACAGAAAGCTGCGCTGGCACAGCTTCCAGAACTCGCACCGGCCCAGCCTGAACTCTGCCTCCCTGGAGATCAACCGCCAGTCCTCTGCCCAGCTCAACCTGCTCCAGAAGTGCTCCCTGCTCCGGCTCACGGCCATCATGGAGAAGTACTCAGTGCCCCACAAACAAGCCTGGACGTGGTGAGCTGGCGGGGTGGGGGACTGGGATGATGCCCCGTGGTGGGTGTGGGCTGCAGCTCTTTGCATCCCTGCAAGCATGAGCTGGGGGCTGATGCCTGGGCTCCCGGCAGCATCTGCATCCAGGAGGGCTGCAGGCATTTGTGGAGCATTAAAAATGCTGCAGCAATGTGAGGGAGTAGGATGGCGGTTTCCTTTAGCAGCCAAGTATCAAAGCATTTTGGCTTAAAAGGTGCTGCAGTTCCTGCTGGAAAGCTGCCTTGCTTATATTTAAAACGTGGCAGAAGCGTGTGTACATGTGTGTCTCCCGGGTCCTGCTCCCCTCTGCGCGGTGGTGCTGAGGCAGCCCCTCGCAGTGCTGACGTCTGTCTGTCCCACCCTGCAGGACTGTGCCCAAGTTCATGAAGCGGAGTAAAGTCCCCGACTACAGGGACAAGATGGTCTTCGGGGTGCCGCCCATCATCAATGTGCAGCGGACGGGGCAGCCCCTTCCCCAGAGCATCC